TATGTTGGGCGACACATGATTCGCCAGGTATAACTGACATTTTTGAATAGCCTTCGGTGTTGTTGCTTGACAGCGAAGAAATCAATGCGTGGCTGATGGTACACTTTTGTATGTTATGAGATGTTCCAACCTCTGGATTTCTACGATTGCGGCCAGTCAGTGATCCAACATTTAGCGTTCCAAGTCTAAGTACCATAGAGGGACCATTCTGAATTATTCTGCAACATCCCTCCGCTATTACATACTTCCCAGGGATTCTTAGCACCCCTTGACCACTTAAGGCCTGCTGGGGACTTGGGTTCGTTGTTTTTTTTTGTGATGGCATAGAATAATTTGAGGGAAAATTTTTACATCCGGACACCCATCCTAACAACAACCACCAGTAATAAGCAGTGGGCCTAGTCTTTTGCTTAAAAGCACGCAAGGCAGCGTCGATGCCGTTTTATGTCATGCCCAGGACGTAATGAAATGAAAATGAATTTTTCATTTTTTTATTATGAAAATTATGAAATGCCTAAGAATGAAATGAAAATATTATGTGGTGTTCTAAAGTTAACTAAAATTTAAATTTTGAATTGCAGATTCTATTGCATTTCAGTAAAGAAACAAAAATATAATGCAAATAAAATTTAAACAGAGTTATAAACATCTATGGGTGCATAAATCGACGATTATCAGACTCTAAATAAGTTTTACAATGTTGTTTAAAGAAACGAGGTTTTGAGACATTTGTTGCCGATGGAAACAAAATTGTAAACCGAATTTTTGGTGAAAGAGTAAATATGCTATCATTTTTTAATCTACTGAATGGTATTACATACGGAATGAAGTGACGCTTAGAGTTAAAAATATATGAGGGGTTGAGTGGAAAAATATTTGAAAAATTAGTTGGTAACATTATCTGTAAGGGTTCGTTCTTTAATTTTTTTATTATTATTTCAACCTCGCAACAAGAACAAGTATGTTGTAACAATTTCTCTATTACAAAGTGAAATACTGTTTATAATGTCAGGCAAGTAACAATAATTACAAACTGACGTTAAGAGTCAATATCTCTAATTAAATTAATTAAACAACGTTATGAGTCAATATCTCTAATTAATTAATTATATATATATATATATATATTTCACAAATCGTCGGTTCACGAATCTACCACTTCAACTTCCGAGACTCCACGATAACTCTCGCGACGACAACAATTCCTGAACTGAAATTCTGAGCCTGTTGACGGGACCTTCCCAGCGCTTTTTTAGACGTTTGGCCGCTATCACTCCCATGTTCAGAAATTGCGACAAGTTATTAATAACTCACGCAAACTGAGTTATTAATAATTATTTGTCCTTGAAGGACAGTTCAATATTTTTAACCAACTTTTTTTTAAACGTTTTTTAACTTGAAATCACCACGGCCACGAGATATTATTTACTTGTTTACTGGTTATCCATTTAAATCGTATAGCGCTACACTGAACCCTGACAATTATCTGATATAATTAAACCAAAAAATTTAGTACTGAAAGTCCTCTCCATTAAATAGTTATGCATATAAATATATAATTTAGGAACATGAACAGCAGGGCTATTGCCCCAGATAAGATTACAATTTGATAAATGTGGAAATACATTGTACAATAAAATTAAAATAGTTTTATTAAGTTTGCATCTTATTTTGTAATGTAGACCTAAAGTTTTGCTTATTTTAGAAAAAATAATAGCAATATGTTCAGCCCAAGAAAAATTATCTGATTTAATTAAACCAAATAATTTAGTATTGAAAGTCCTCTTCATTAAATAGTTATGCAAATAAAGCTTTAACGGGCCATAAGTATTGGTTAGGATCCTCGGACCAATAATCATGTAGTTGCATTTTTGATAATTAATTTTAGTTTATTAGTATAAAACCAGTTAGCAATAATTTTTAGATTATAATTGAGTAAATCCAAATCCTTCAGAGTTGATTTAGTTGAATAAAATAATTTTAAATATGGTTTTAATAGAGAACAAGTCATAAATAAAGAATATAAAAAGCAAGGGTTTAAGAATTGGCCCTTGTGGGACGTCTTTTAGGTGCCAAGATTTTTTGGGAATTGATATCATTAACATCTATTGAGTAGGTAAGACATAAACCAAGAGTGGAACTTACCACGAAAACCAAGCGCTTCAAGTATACGTAAGAGAAGAGTGTGATCAGTATGATCAAAAGCTTTACTGAGATCAATAAATATGCCAAGTGTAATAAGTCCATCATTCATATTGGAAAGAGTGTTATGTACAAACTGAAGATTGGCTAATTCAGTTGTTCTGCCAGATCGGAAGCCAAATTGGTAATCCGATAGTAGATAAAATGTTGTGATAAATTTGTGCATTCGAATATACATAAGCTTCTCTAAAATCTTTGACATTGGAGACAATAAAGATATAGGCCGATCACTTTTTTTTATATATAGGAATAACACGAGCAGTTTTAAATACGGCAGGGAAGACACCTTGTTTAAATGATAAGTTAAATAAATAAGCAAGAGGTTTAGTGATATTATATATGCAGTTTTTAATTAATATAGTTGCCAAGTTCATCATCTAGTAAAGATTTGTTATTCTTCATATTACCAACCACATCTAGAATTTCAGATTCATTAACTTCATAAATATAAAAAAAATAGAGTTATTAACAGACAATATAGAGTTATTACAAGAATTATAATCATCATCGATAAGAATAAGCTTTCAATAAAGTAATTATTAAATTCATTAGAAATTGACAAATTGTTAGTAACAATGTTATCATCAATCATTAATTGAGAAATATTATGAGGAAGGGCATTATTAAGCAACGAATTAATTTATTCCCATTTAAATTTTAAGTCACTATTAGAAAATATTTTATAATAATTACGCTCAACCCTTCTTATAACACTAGTGAGACGATTACGATAATATTTATATATCTTTAGATTAGATGATGTGGGGTTCTTAACGTATTTTTTTAATAGTTTATTTTTGATTCTAGAGACTTTTATAATGTCTCTGGTAATCCATCCTTTGTACTTGTAATTGTTAATTACCTTGAATAGAGCATATTTATCGATTATAAAGTTGAACTGAATATGGAAAGACAAACAGGATACTTCAACATCTTCAGTACATTTCAATAAGTTCTTTTGTGATTTTCTGCAAGGACATCATCACAGTTGGCCATGCATAATATTTTATTAATATTGTCAAAAGTTTTAGTATTGAAATAACGAGTGAAATGATGATTACCGAAAATACCAGGTGGCTGAGATAAATTTGTTTTATTGAAGAATGAAAATATTGGATAATGTTCCGAGAAATCAGATAAAACAATATCAGCTGTATGTAGTAAAGAACTATTGCTAAAGATGTGGTCAATTAAAGTTGCTGATTTATATGTTACCTGTGTAGGAAGTTCAATCGTCGAGTAAATATTATAAGTTGCTAGTAGATTATTAATTATCATAATTTGAGAAGTGCATTTAGTAAGTCGACATTGAAGTCACCAATAAGGTAAATATCCGTTGTAGGTTTAAGCCTATCAAGAATGCATTCCAGGTGTCATAAAAAAGCATCGAAGGAAGAAGCAGGAGGTCGAAATATGGCTGAAATTGTAGCCTTAAAATTGTTACATAAAACATTAATACTTAAAATATCGGAAAGATCATGATCAAATATCGATGTCAAATTAGTTATATAATAAAAATACCTACACCTCCTCCAATTCCGCCCGTTCTATTTTTACAAGAAAATTGTAGGAGTCGATATTAACTAGTTTACATATAATGTCATTTAACCAAGTTTCAGAAATAGTGATAAAATGAAATATGCTAGAAAATGATTTAATTATAATTTATAAATCTGACAATTTATTAATAATACTCCCGCAGTTTTGGTGTAGAAAAGAAAACGAAATAATTTTAAAATTACCAGTGGACCAAAATTGATTTATAAAATTATCATAATTGTAGTATATTTCAATCAACAATGTTTAGAGTTTCAAATGACGCCATGGTTAAGCAGCTTGGGGTTTCTCCTGAAATATCCAATCACGCACTACAGTGTGCACGTATCTTAAATCATCGTCAAAAATTTTGGAACTTTGGTCCAGTGGTAAGCACAAACGAAATGAAGTACTACTATCTTCAACGTTAAATAACTAAAAATTGTTCATGTATATAAAATAATAATATGTGGCTTTAATTGGCTTTTTTATGTGTCTACGTGTTTTGAGTATTAGTATTTAAAATGTTGTAAAGTTTAATAATTGAAATAGAATGAATAGAATATAACTCACCCATTATTGTTAATTCATAATTGTTATAACAACAACAACAACACACGTTTAGACGACATTTTCCCCGAGATCGGGGGTTGCCGTTTGGTTTGGCTACCTATGATGAAACCGAAATACCCCTCGACGCCATTCCATCATAAGTAATTTATTTGGCTAATTTTTACGCAGGACGCCCTTCATTACGCAACCACAGTTATAAGCGGTGGGCCTAGCCTTTGATGATCCAACATCACTCACAAGGCAGTGAGGGTCAGTTTAATGTCATAACCAGGACAAATTTTTTCATAATTCATAATTCATAATTGTTATAACTTGATTTAAAATCAAAAATGTTTTATCGAACTAAAAAAACTAAAACGTAAACTACGAATTGCGAATAGTAAGTTGTATGTTGTAGAATTGTATAATGAGAATCGTCCCTTAACTTATGTTCTCGCCTCTTATATTGATATATCAGGAGACCCTGTTCCACTTAACCAGTTAACTAACTCTTTCTAATTATTGCATGTTACCCCAGTTTTATTATTCAATGTTCTTTATACGTTATATTACCTTATATTAAGATGCTTTATAGTTGTGATATGTACTCTATAATGTCTGTGAATTTGTTGCCCCGTCATGAACTACTTATATAAATTAACTTCCATTATAATTACTTAATAATGTTTTCTAAATTTTATTCCTTGCAGAAAATCACAAAGGAACTTATTGAAATGTGCTTAAATTTTATTCTCTTGTGTCCTTCCAAGTTTGTTTCTACTAAGTTTGATGCAAAATAAATTAATGCATCAGATATTTTGAAACATTTTTATCGTAACTCATATATTCATGCATACGTATAATATAACATTTTCACTTATTGGTTTGGAGTTATTTATTATTTTCAGGGGTTGGAGAATCGGGTTTAACAGCTTATGTGGTTTTGCTTCAGTAAACCATCAACATGCGCATGCATGGAAATTGAAACTCCCTCTTTTTATAGAAAGTGCAGTAAGTTTTTTTTCAATTAGCTTAATTTTAAATTTGCAAAACTTTGATTGTTTAATTTTTGTTGTTTCTCAGTTTGTAAATTATTATTCAAATTTTATTAATATATTCGAAATAGCACTGTTTTTGAAGCCGTTAAAATAGAGAAAGTCACATCGTTTCAATATCTAGGGGATGTTCTGGATTGTACTGGAACATCTGAAGCTGCCGTTCGAGCACGCATACGTGCAGCCTGGAATAAATGGCATCTCCTTGCCTCTATATTGATGCGGCGTGACATCCCACTACCACTACGATCAAGACTTTATAAATCTGTGAAACGTCCGGTGTTGTTATATGGTGCAGAAACATGGCCAATGACAACCAAACTGGAACAACAACTTCAACGAACCGACATGAAAATGCTCCGATGGATGCAACGAATTATTCTGAAGGACCACATCAAATCGACCGAAATCCTGCGTCGTGCTGGTTTAGATGATATAAAAGACGAATGCCGGCAACACCGTCTGCGGTGGTTTGGTCATGTCAAACGAAGTGGAAACTGTACCATAACTTCTCTTGCAGATGTTGAAGTACCTGGCACACGTCCAAAGAAGTCCTGGTCGCAAACAATCGAGCAAGACATGAAAGCTCTAAATTTAAATGAAATGGATACAACTGATCGTCTAATTTGGCGCAAAAAGTTGATGGCAAAGAAAACAACGTCCTACCTCGGGAAACCGGGTCTCTGGACGCAAAACGAAGATTGATATTCATTTTTTCAAAACGTCTCTAATAATTACTTTCCTAGATGAAAAAATATAGTTGTGATTAATAAATTAGTTTAAGTCAAGATGCTGTGTAATATTACTGTTTACCATGTTTGTCTGATATCTCACTCAAGATTTTGAAGACTTCAAAACCACACGTTAAATTTACGAATTTTTCACCAAAAAAAACCTTCCAAAAATTGGTTTTTATTATACGTGTTTTTGACCAAGCACAAATAAAAATCGGTAGTTTTGCAATTTTTAACTGATTTCGTTAAATTAGTGAAATGTCCGTATAAAATAATAAAGTATAAAGTAATTTCTGATAAAAAGAATAACTTGTGTTGTTTGTAAAGGAGTTTGTCATTACGAGTGCTGCGGATTAAGTAAAGATTTGTCAAACAAGATGATTGAATTATCAAATTTGACATGGAGCTGCGATGAATGTTTGATGTTGATAAAATCATTAAGAGTAATATTGATGACGTTAAGAGGAAACAAAATGAAATAGGTGATGAAATAACAAAAATTGGTAAGAAACAAGATAATATGGAGGAGGATGTGGCAAGAATTGAACATTTAAATAAAACAGTTGCTAAGGGTTTTACAAGTTTTTATATGAAGACTGTAAAAAAACTCGCAGAACTAGGAAATAACATGCCTGATGTAAACAAAATTTTGAAAACTTTTGATAAAACAAAGTAATGTGGTGAAACAAAATGTGCAGGACGTTAAAAAAGAGGTTCAAAACGTTTTTAAAGCCATTGAAAAGACCAATGACAACATCAGATATGTTAATGACTTAGAGGAGAAAATGAATAGTGTCAGGAAGCAGGATAAAATAAGGAATAAGGTTGTTAGAAATTTGTTCACACCTAACGGATGGACTTGTTACAGAAAATAATATAAAATCTCTTTTTCGCCTGGGGAAAATAATTGATAAAGATTGGCCTGTTATGATAAAACTCTATGAATAAAAAGAAAAAACTTTTTCATGGAAAATTTAATTAAGTTGAAGAATCTTAAAGGCAATTGTGAAAATATATGTCAGTCGTGATTTAAATAAAGAACAGAGATTGGAAAGGAAAAAACTGGCTGACAAAGCGAAGAAATTGGAATAGATAACCAGGGGTAATTCATGTTTCGTGTAAGGGGGATGCCAGAAAACGTGAATATTATAAAGTTAAGAAATAACTAAAAGAAATATCAAAAGTAACTGTAGTTTTTTTTTATACTTATGTGGATTGCATAAACAAATAAAATGGGGAAATTAATTTATATTAATTAAATCAGAGTTTTCATCAAAGGATATTTTAATTTTTACAGAAGCCAATGGTAAAAATCTTTTAAACGAATATACTGAGAAAGAATTTCAATTGATTAAATATAAATTACATAGATTACATGGTGTCTGTCATATCAATTCAGGCAAAGAAAAATATAAACTATATAAACTAATGGTCAAAAGACGGCCAAAAATGGTGTTGGAATTTTGTCAAAGAACCGCTAGCCCCAAGAAGTACTGAATATTAAAAGGATTAACTCACGTCTTATGTGGATCAAGATTCGCCTAGAAAAGCAAACAATGACTATTTTTCTGCATACGCACCACAGATAGGCGAATCAGAAGAGATGAAAAATGAAATTTGAGCTGCGTTCTCTGACACCATCTCAAAAATACCAAAATCTGAAAACATCCTGATTGGAGACGATCTAAATGGCCACATTGGAGAAAAAACGGATTGTTTTGACAACGTGCATGGCGGTTAGGCTATAGAGAACGGAATGAAGATGGCAACCGCATCCTTAAGTTTGCTGAAAGTCACGGGTTTTGTTTACTGAACACATATTTTAAAAAGAGGTTGGAACATCTCATAACAGACAAAAGTGGTAATCAGCCACGCAAATTGATTTCTTCGCTGTCAAGCAACAGCACCGAAGGCTATTCAGAAATGTCAAAGTTATATTTGGCGAATCATGTGTCGCCCAACATAGACTCCTTGTGGCAGACCTAGTTGTTAAACTGTCAAAATATAAGTCTAAACAAATGCCTCGAGAAATATTTCAACAGATTGTCGCCACACAGTTAGACCACCAATCGCAACCCAGTACAGATTGGAGTACATACAAAACCGTTTTGATAAACGCTGCAACTACATGATGAAGGATGTCACAACGCAAAACTTTCCACTAGCAAGTTAGAATGAATTTATCGGTTGACAAAAGATAATGCTGATATAATCCACTGCAGAGCAGCAATTCATGAAAACATAAATTCACGTTAAAAGAAAAAATTATCAATAGCTTATCATTTCTAATGTTTTTTCATCATTGCTAGAGAAAAAAATTGATTGCTCGACATCGCTGCCTGCTCAACAGTTTCTGACATACATGAAATCAAAATCTGATCCGTGAATAGTGCTCTTGAGTTCAAATAGACCGAGTTTTAGAATATTTCAATAGAAGATTTAAAAATATTAATTTTATCATCTTCTAACAAATCATGTAGTGTTAATCCAATCCATCTCTTATAAAGGAATTTTTCGGTACACTTATTACTTTTATTTATCTTATTTTTCGGTATTTTACAAAAGCAATAGCTCTTGGCTTTTCCGAAGCTTTTTACACTCTCAACCACTTTTTATTTTCAAATAATTTAGCCTCTCCCTCTACCTGACAACACTTGCTACTTTATAATAAATTTTTTTTCTAATAGAAGTCATTCTACTTTTTTTAGCTCTACTCTTTCATCTACTTTACCTATTAATTCTAGTGTAGTCTAAGTTTCTGTCCTTGGACCACTACTTTTATCATCAATGCTTCTACTTTCAAAATTCTTCATAGCTCTTATCAAATAATCAAATACGCTGACGACACCTATCTTATCATCCCATCATCTAACACAAACACCATCCAATCAGAACTCGACTTAACCTCAATAAATCATTCAAACTCATCATTTACAATAGTCGTAAGAAAATAATATTACCTCCAGAACACCCATCAATCACTCGCACAAATCAGTTAAAAATATTAGGCATCACATTCACCTCCACACCTGATGTAGCATCTCATATTAATCACATTATCACCAAGGGTTTTCAAACATTTCACGCACTCAAAACACTTCGCTCACACGGTTTCAGAGATAACAAATTATTTGACATCATCGAATTACTCATCTCACACACCAATTATGCAGCTCTCTCCTGGTCTGGTTTTGCTATACAACAACAACTTCAACAACTACAATCTCTCTATTCTTGTAGCTGTTCAAAAGGATGTTGTGGCAGGATCGGAGTTGAGCGAGGGTCCGCCTGGTTGCCCTTGATAGGGTTTTCTCCGATTTGTCTATTTTAGGGGTTGGTGGTGGCCACCCATTGAGCAGTATTGGTGCCTGGTACGACTCGGCGGTGGCTTTGGCGGCGTTACTATGAAGAGTGTTGGATGCCGCCTTTAGAGACTTGATGTTGATGTTCACTGGAAGCACCGCTACGACCGTTGATGATGACCATCTTGAGATGAGAGTGTCCTTCATATCTCGATGAGGTCGTGGTTGAGTGGTAATGATGTTGCACGGGTGGCTTGGTTTGTAACATTGTAGAAGGAATTGTGAGGATAGCAACTCGGAGTGCTGCTTCACTCTTAACATCTGGCATTCTGAATGTAAATGCTGCTCGGACGTGATTCCATGGCAGCCTGTAACCAGTCGTAAAGCAGCATTCTGAGAGCGTTGTAGTCTATTGAGGCTTGAGTTGGACGTTAGAGGGGACCAGGCCGGGCAGACATACTCAATTGTGGAACGCCCAATTGCTTTGTATGTCTGTAGGAGTGTTTCTTTATCCTGGTCATATGTGGTGCCGCTGAGAGCCTTGAGAATATTGTTTCTTTTGGTGGCCTTGCCATTTTCGCTGCCATTTTGTGGTGTTGTGAGAACGACAGCATTGTGTCCAAGGTTAGTCCTAATATTTTCGGGTTGTGTTCCAGCGGTAAAAGCTGGTTGTTTATCTTAATTTGGGGATGGTAGTTGTATTGTGATGTATTGTGATGTATGAGAAGTGAAAAGTGAAATTGTTTGGTTTAGAAGTGGAGATTTCTAAATTTCTGCTGTTGAAGAAATCATATAACTTCGGAAGGTAGCAATTGAGCCGGCGGGTCAAAATATCTGCATCTGTACCGGTTGTGCAGATTGAGAAGTCGTCGGCATAGGAGATGATTTTGATGTCTTGAGGCGGAGCGGGTGCTTTGGCT